TCTTGCAGTCGTAGGCTCCATCGAGCGAGGCGTCCCGATGGGTCCTTCAGGCTCGCTAACCAACACAGCGAATGGTGGTCGGTGACCACCCGAAAAGGAGTCCCGTACAGGTATGGGCGGAATTTCGTGATGGCCCAGACTACGGCCAGACATTCCTTCTCGGTCGTCGAGTAATTGCGTTCCGCGTTCGACAGCGTCCGGCTAGCGTATGCGATCACGCGCTCCGCACCGTCTTGTCGTTGGACCAGTACCGCTCCGAGTCCTGTATTACTGGCGTCCGTGTGGACCTCCGTTTCGGCTGATTGGTCGAAGTGGCCGAGAATCGGTGGTGACTGGAGCCGTCGCTTTAGTTCGTCGAATGCCTGTTGTTGTTCTTCACCCCAGTCGAAGTTCACGGCGTCCTTCGTAAGGTGCGTTAGCGGCGCAGAAAGCTTGGCGAAATCCTGAACGAATCGCCGGTAGTATGCGCAAAGCCCAAGGAATCTTCGGACGGCAGTTTTGTCGGTGGGCGGTGGAAAGGCCGCTACGGCGCGAGTCTTCTCAGGGTCAGGACTTACACCTTCGTTGCTCACCACGTGGCCCAGGAACTTCAGTTCGCCGTAGGCAAACCGGCACTTCGTCGGCTTGAGGGTGAGTCCTGCGGTCCTGATTGCCTCTAAAACGGCCCGAAGGCGTCGCAAATGCTCGTCGAAGTTGGCCGAGAATACCACGACGTCATCGAGGTAAACGAGACAGCTCTGCCACTTGAGGCCTGCCAGGACGGTGTCCATGACACGTTGGAACGTTGCCGGCGCCGTGCACAGTCCGAAGGGCATCACCTTGAACTCAAACAGTCCGTCGGGCGTGACGAAGGCAGTCTTTTCTCGGTCCCGTTCCTCGACTTCGATCTGCCAGTAGCCACTCTTAAGGTCCATCGACGAAAAGTATCGGGAGTGGCGCAGCCGGTCCAGCGTGTCGTCGATGCGGGGGAGCGGATACACATCTTTCTTCGTGACCGCGTTGAGCCGCCGGTAGTCAACGCAGAATCGAAGCGTTCCGTCTTTCTTCTTTACCAGCACAACTGGAGAGGCCCACGGGCTGCTCGAAGGCTGAATGATGTCGTCGTTGAGCATCTCCTGTACTTGTTCATGAATGGCCTCTCGTTCCTTTGGGGAGACCCGGTACGGCGGCCGATGCACAGGGAGCGCGTCCTCGTTGGTAATGATGCGGTGTTTCGCAACTGTTGTCTGGCGCACCCTCGACGTCGTCGCAAAGCAATCGCCGAACTCGGCGAGGAGGTCTCCGAGCTGTCGTCGTTCCGTGGCGCTGAGCTTGGGGTTGACGTCGAGCTGTGGCGGCACTGTACTAAACGGCTGACATGGCGAGGGCTCGTCGGAGATCGCGGCGATTTCGGCGTCGGCCAGAAGTTCCTCAACGTGTCCTATAGTGGCCCCTTTCGTGAGATGCTGCGCCTCCGGTCGAAAGTTCGTCACGAGGACCACACAACGTCCATCCTGCAGCTCTGTTACGCCCCTTGCGACGCCTATTCCTCTTCCGAAAAGCAGTTGGACGTTGCCTTCCAGAAGGACTTTCCCGCTGGCAACTGCGTCGGTCACGACGGGCACACGAACACTCGACCGTGGCGGCAGGTTCACGTGGTCCGCAATGACTCGGACGGCGGCTGGCGACGTTTTGGATTCCTCCGGAGGTAGCACGGGCTTTCGCAGCGTCAACCTGTTTGCTCCAAGGTCGATCACCGCACCGTACTCACAGAGGAAGTCCATGCCAAGGATGACGTCTCTCGAACAGTCTTTGAGGACGACGAATTTCACGGGGCAGGTCTCTCCGTGGATGTCCACGCGCGCAGTACACCTTCCCACTGGTGTGATGAGATGTCCGCCGGCGGTTCGTATTTTCGGGCCATCCCAAGGCATCATCACCTTCCGTAGGCGGCGAGAGAGCTTCCCACTTAAAACCGAATAGTCTGCTCCGGTGTCGATGAGCGCCTTCGCGTCGTGGCCGTCGATGATTACGTCGAGGTTATTGGACACCGTCTCGTCGCTAGTGGGGGAGCCCTCCGACGTTTGTGGAGGATATTGGCGTCGTTCGTCCTCGGCAATACCACCTCCCGGCAGTGCCGCACTTAGTTTTCCCGACGGGAAGCGATGGGTGACGGGCTGTCTCGGCGAGACCGGCGGAAGGGCGATGACGAGCGTCGGGGAGATGGTGAACGGAATCCTCGGCGGCGAGACGACTCAGGTGATGAAGAGCGGCGGAGGTAGTCCTCGATGTCCCGAGGTCGCTCCCCAAGACGTGGTCGAGGGTCGTTGGGCGCAAACCCTCGTAGGCCCAGCTGGCGGTAGGGACATCGACGGTAGATGTGGTCGGCTTCCCCGCAGTGGTAGCACAACGGGCGTCGATCGGCCGTTCGCCACACGTCGGTCTTCCTGGGCGCCGGTTGCTCTTGCCGGACGTACTGAGGTCGATCGTCGAGACGTCGGGGGTACGGCTGTGCCGGTGCGTCCCGTCGTCGTGGTGTTGGAGGTTGATGGGCAGCAGGTGGCGGTCGTCGGGCCATGGCGGCGTAGCTCACCGTCGGTTGCTCGAGCGGAGCGGGGTTGACAGGAGCCCGTTGTTCGATGGCTCTCTCGAGCTCGTCCCTCACAACTTCGGCAATGGACAGCGACGCCGGGGGGTCGGCAGCAGGCAGCAGTTTCTTGAGTTCTTCGCGAACGACTTGACGGATAATCTCGCGAAGCTCGTCGGTGCTGGTGCTGAACTCGGAGCTTGCCGATGCCAGAGTTGAAACGTCGTTGAGCCGATGGTAGTGCAGCGCTCGGGCCATTAGCGCCCGCTCGATGTTTGTCGCTTCGGCAACAAATTCTTCGACGGTCGTCGGAGGGTTGCGAACAAGTCCCCCGAAGATTTCGCTTTTTACGCCTCTCATAAGGAAGCGCAACTTTTTCTCGTCAGTGGCTTCCGGGTCGGCGCGGCTGCTCAGGCGGAGGATGTCTTCAACGAAACTGGTGACCGTTTCGTTGGGGCCTTGAGTCCTCGCCTGGAGAAGGTCTTCGGCCCGCTGCCTACGATGCTGATTCATGAACGCCCGCTTCAGCTCGGTGACGCAGGCGTCCCACGACGTGAGCGCAGCCTCGTGATTCTCCAACCAGTGCCTCGCAGTACCCTCCAACGAAAAGTAGAGGTTCTGGAGGCACTGCTCCGCAGTCCATCCGTTGTGGCGCGCCACACGCTCGTAGTTCTTGATCCAGTCTTCAACATCCTCGTGGATCTCGCCGTGGAAGGGAGTCGGCGTACGAGGAGCGACGGTAAGGCAGACGACGGCAGGAGCGGCGGGGTTCGGCGACTGGTTGGCCATCGTCGTCTTCGCTTGCCTTGTTCTCGCGGTGAATGGTCCGAATTCAGGAGCTTGCCCTTGAAGACGGCAGCTGGCACGGTGCTTCGGGTCTTCAACGAAAGGTCGTCGGGAAATGGGGCTTGTTGACCGAGTTCTTCTAGGGGTAAACGTTGCACGGGTTTTGTACCCCGCACCTCCACCAGAAATGTCACGAATTAAGGCGACGAGAAAGAAAAGAGTAAACTGAAAATAAAGGTTTAATGGGCGAACTTGTGCCAAACAAAAAGGAGTAACGGAAGAGCGTCGAGGCAGCAGAAAAGCGGGCGGCGATTCGGCGGCACTACAGAGCGCTAGCGAGACTGAGACTGACTCGACAAGGTCGCGGGCAGTTGCTTATCTACCGTGCGTCACTATCTCGAAAGTTCGGCAAGGAAGGTTCGAGCGTCGCGCTCTCGGGGCGAGGATGAACTGGCACTTTCGAGAATAACAAAGCAGAGGGAAAGTTACGTCTGCTGCGAGAATGACCGGGAATCTTCTAGAAGACCGTGACCGAGCGTTGCCTTCTCGGCTCTGCGGGTGGCAATATATATTTAAAAAAAACATTTACGTTGTAGAAAGTTGTACTTTTATTCTTCTGGCCCACACGTTTGCCTTCAAGCGGTATTAGGACAATAGCTGTCTAACCTCCTCCAAGACGCCATTTCTTTTTACGAAAACAAGGAATGTTTTGCAAAAGTAAAATCCAAAACATGTGGACACGTTCACTGAAAACAAAAACAGGCTTGACACCCCTATGGCCGTCAATATGAGAAGGACCCAACAAATCCTACACTCTAAAAAAAGCCCGTACGTCCACTTTCCCGCACAATACTCGGAGAACCAATCGCCGCAACTCACGGAGGCAGCTCAGCGAATGACGATGCCGAAACCTATGTTTATACCAAAAAACGCAGTCTGAGTTGTGACATTAAGCAATACAAGCGTGACGTTTTGCATTGCTTATTGTCACAACCCAGACTGCGTTTTTTGGTCTAAACAAATGTTTCGGCATCGTCATTCGATGAGCTGCCTCCGTAAGTTACGGTGATTGGCTCGCCGAGTGTTTTGCGGGAAAGTGGACGCACGGGCTTTTTTTAGAGTGCAGATGGGGAAAAAAATGTTGATAACCAATATCGGGAAATGCTTTCGAATATTTTTCATTTGAATTGAAAGTAATATTTAAAGAATATTAATATAAAGTATATCTGGCATATGACACAACGTGTTACAACACAGTAAGATTATTATGAAAAAGAACGTCGCTATGCAAACAAAACTAATTTTTAAATATTTCTCTTGATTAAACTTTCCCGATGTTCCCTTCATCGTGGCAAGTGTAAAACATAAGCTTTGAAACTTTAACCCTGAAATTATGAATGAAATATAAGAGGTGTACAACACAAACTATATAAGTTTCATTGCCTAAAAATTCGAACGTCGAGTGGAACCAAAATTAACTTCAATTTAGTCTCATATAGCATTATTTTTGTTGCTGAGCCAACCAGATGCTTTTCGTTTATAGGCTTAATCTTAATCGACGGCATTTTCGTTTGCTCTTTGGCTGTTTAATTTGTTCATATTTCTTACAGGCAGTTGGTTTAATATCATACCACTTGTTTGTTTTCAGAAACTGATTCCGCAGAGATGATCACCTCATTTGTGGACCCCCTGGAGTGTGATATTCTTAGAATTCCATCTATAAGCGGTAATAATGTTATTATCAAAATACACACTTCTGCAATAGAAAAACAACACATAAAATTCGGTATATACAAAAAATCTTATCAAAAAAGTGAAAGCCGTTTACCACTCCCTGTAACGCCGAATTGGAGCGCAGCTCTTGAGGAGGAGGAGAGGAGGGTACTGGGGGCCACGTGTTCTCGGGAGGGGGGGGTCACGTGACCCCCCCGAGGGCACGTGACCTTAGTGGGGGCACATGGGGGCAAACACATGCCCCCCTTAGAGGTCACGTGATCTCGGGAGGGGGTCACGTGACCTCGGGGTGTGACTCCCCAGGTCACGTGACCCCCGGGTCATGTGACCAAATTTTCCGCTAGATTTAGCGGGGAAGCTTTTTCCGCTAGATTTAGCGGGGAAATTTTTTCCGCTAGATTTAGCGGGGAAATTTTTTCCGCTAGATTTAGCGGGGAAATTTTCTACTAGATTTAGCGGGGAAATTTTTCCGCTAGATTTAGCGGGGAAATTTTTCGCTAGATTTAGCGGGGAAATTTTTTCCGCTAGATTTAGTGGGGAAATTTTTTTCCGCTAGATTTAGCGGGGAAATTTTCCACTAGATTTAGCGGGGAAATTTTTCCGCTAGATTTAGCGGGGAAATTTTTTCCGCTATATTTAGCGGGGAAATTTTCCGCTAGATTTAGCGGGGAAATTTTTCCGCTAGATTTAGCGGGGAAATTTACCCATAATGCACCGCGCGGTTACGCCGACGGCGACGCCGACGGCGACGCCGCTCAAGCCGGAAACGGGGGCCTAAGAGCTGCGCTCTAAAATGAAAGCCTTTTACAACTCCCTGTAACGCCGAATTAGAGCACAGCTTTTGAGGGGGAGGAGAGGAAGGTACGGAGAGGGGAATAAGCCCCTTCTCCTCTCCTGCTCGCCCCCATTTAGGAGAAAATTTTCCGCTAAATTTAGCGGGGGTGTTTTTCCGCTAAATATAGCGGGGAAACTTTTCCGCTAGATTTAGCGGGAAAACTTTCTGCTAGATTTAGCAGGGACATTTTCCAGCTAAATTTAGCGGGGAAATGTTTTCAATAAATTCAGCGATGAAACTTTTCTGCTAAATTTAGCGGGGAAATTTACCCATCATGCACCGCGCGATTACGCCCACGCCGACGGTGACACCGACGCCGACGCCGCTCAAGCCGGAAACGGGCGCCTTAGAGCTGCGCTCTAAAACACCTTATTATCCAATTGCAGAGGGCTCTCGTTGGTTTTAGGGCGCAGCTCTTAGGCGCCCGTTTACTGCTTGAGTGGCGTCGCCGTCGCCGTCGGCGTAACCGCGTGGTGCATTATGGGAAACGTCCCATAATGCAACGCGGTGACGTTTCGGCATGGTGCCAAAACGTCACCGTACCGAAACGCCGCCGCGGTGCATTATGGGACGTTTCTCATAATGCACCGCGCGGACGTTTCGGCACTATGCCGAAACGTCATCATGCTGAAATGTCGCCGTGGTGCATTATGGACTTTTCCCATAATGCACCGCGGTGACGACGCGCATTTGGCGCGTGAAAGAAGGAGGAGGGCAGGAGGAGAGGATACAGATGAGGAGGAGGGGCATACCCTTCTTTCAGTACCCTCCCCTCTTGCTCCTAAGAGAGCTGCGCTCTAAATTGGTGTTACAGGAAGTTGCAAATTTCTTTCATTTTTACTTTATACGGCTCGTGTTCTATTTATCCAAGGAATAGTACGGCTAGAATGAACCTATACAGTTGTGGTTGATCATTCAGAAAATAATGCAACTAAACTAACGAATGTTACCTGGACGTCATACTGCTGTATTTTTCATGCAGAAAGCGCATGTGTGCTCATCGTCCCGGAAAGCCGTGTAAGCAATCCACCAGAATGCTGCGAATTCATCTTTGATCTCCTGTGCGGCACAACACCAAAGTACGAGATCTATGATGAGAGCTGCTCGGGATAAAATTGAGGCTTCCGTTCACTCTTTCGAATTGGAGAAAACTTCACGTGAAGCGAAGTGCAGTGGTTGATATGTTTTCGGTAAACTTGAATTACAAAAAAAAAGAAAAAAGCTTGTTTATGTATTGGTTGGTGGAACATAAATAAAATTCACTATATTCTCCCTATAATAAAGGTTTTATGCCGTACACGGGTTCGTATCTTACTTAATACCCGTAGCGTCAAATATGAATGAGGTATTAGGGCGGTAGTTTTTATGGGTTCCATGAACGAAGATGTATAGACTGTATTGGAAATAGGCTCATCTACGTGAAAAACACAACAAGCACTTTTCGGCTGCTCTACTTACTCCCTTAGGCGATGGAAGACCGAGTGGGGTAGCATACACGAGTTTGGAGCACGTGGAGCGAAAACTCGCGCCGCAGAAGTGCGGGATCCTTGGTTCAATCCCCACTGCTGCCCGCTTCGATCTGGATGAGCATCGTGCCGGTGTGCGGTCGTGTATCACTACTGCGTGATGCACGTTAAAGACCCCAGCCTGGAGGTTGTACTACACTTGTTAAATGTCTCATCTACAGCTGGGAGACCAGTCGCTCGTTAAGGCAGACTAAGTGCTAGGGTTTATAAACATACACCCCAATTGTTTTTTTTGTTTTTTTCACTTGCTACTTTCCTATTTGTGTTACAGCTTACACTTAGCAAACGATTCAAGAAAATAAATGCTAGGAAGCATGAATTGTATACGTATCCTTTATATGTTTTTTTTTTTAATTTTAGTATGTTTGCGGCGTTCCCCGCGTCCTGATTTATATTTATGAATTGATAAAAATAACTTTACAGGCGTAAATAGTATTCGTTTTCTTACGCCGTAACTTACCAATACAGTTAGAAAATACTCATCCAACATTTCATTTTAAATAATTTACGTTGAAGAATATACACGTGACAACAAGGACTACCAGATAGTGCCAATATTTATTTTAGATTGTGTGCTGAAATAGCGAGGAAGTCGAGAGGAATGCATGTTTCCGTTAACACTTGGAGATACTTAAGTGCTGAATTTGTTTCTATATATGTTGCAATAAAGACGAGGGATGCAGTGAGCGGTCTGCCTGTGTGAAATATCTTTCCACCTCCCTTAAAAATGCTTGCGATTATCTGCAATTATTGAACGAGGTGGAAGTTCGCATTTATAAATTCTTTAATCTTGACTCATCACCTGTCAAGATTTTTATTGATGACGTCCTGTCGTTGAAGAGCAGCATTTCATTCTTGTTCGACTGAGTTTGTGTAGCTTTTCGTTGTGATTTGTTTTTGTGCACTACCGAATTGGCTTCTTTCCGCGCGCGCCGGTGCCCAAGTAGGCAGCGCGGCCGTGTACTCACGGTTATCGTGATTGCCTCCCACACGAAAAGTTCGGGTTCGATTTCTGGGAGCGACGGTTCTTTTATTTAGTCTTGCAATTTCGTGTTCTGGTAAATTCGAGAATCTCGTTGCTTGTTCGAGGTACAAATGCTCTCCGCGCCGAACCTTCTACGCCGATTGTTGCAGAGTCCCACGCGCGTACATAAGGGGCTCCGCGTGCCGAGGCGGAGTCAGTCTCGCCCCAGCGTACGATCCTGCTGTTACGCCGTCATCGACGTCCGCGACGCTCTACTGTTATCTTCTCTTTCTTTTTTGTTTTGGGCACAAGTGCGCCCCATTAAACGTTTAGTTCCTTCAGTTACCATCGCCTCATCAATTGTCATTCGCGCCTGTAGGTAGCCTAAACCAATAAGTGCTAGGCTTTATAAACATACACACACACCATGTCCCTCTTACCGGCCCCCGGACGCCTCGTCTTGTTTACTCTACTTTTTGTCCTGTCGTTTTTGGCGCTTTACATTCTGAGCATGAACCAACTGGCCCAAATTTCCAATTTGCGACACCTAAGCACTTCTTATAAGTTGTGAATGCGAGAGCATGAATGTCGTTCTTCCGCTCCCTTAGTTCGTCTGCGGCGTACTGGCGTGGACGGCCAAGTTTTGCCGGCCGACGGCCGAGTATGCGCTCTCGTGAGGTTGGCCGTACATCCTCTCCAGAGTGTGCCCGGGCGGGCTTTGCCGCCACCGCTCCCTCTTAACGGCCGCCGCGACGCTGCGTGCGCTGCGGCGCCATGGGGAGGGCTTTTCTGGTGGCGTTTTTTGGAACTACGCCGCACGGAAGCCAATGGGAGCCTCGTTCCTTGATGACGTGCGCCAGTAAATGGGAACCTATCTATCCGATGTCTGCTGCGAAGGACACTGGGACAGGGGAAGGGGGCTTTTGGCGCGGCTTCAAAACTGAGGACGTCGTTTCGCTCAATGGAACAGTTAAGTTTTTTCGCATTATTAAATATATGTAACTCACGTGTAAGGGAGGAACGGGACGGAAAACACAATGTCATAATGCAGCTGGAGGTTTATTAGGCCGAATCATTTTTCAAAAGACCCATGTTTAAGATAAGTACGCGCAAAAACAAGATTGAACTCGTCTAACCACAACACTAAGGAACAAAGTCACCCAAGGACAGCAATTCAAAAACAAGAAAGCACAAATCACCCTCACCCGTTCCTCAAACATTCGGAATAAACCCGCCTACACTTACAGGACACGATAGGAAGGGTGTAGCCCGAAACAATGAATTCCCATATGAATCCGTCCCGTTTGACCTATTCTCAAACGACCTTCACGTTTGAACCAATGCCGTTTCGACCAGTTTTCAAAACACCATTTCTATTTAGAACCGTCCCGTTTGAACCCGTTCGCCAAACACCTTAACACGCTTTGCGTTTCAACCTATTTGTGTAAGGCTCTGCACCATCTCATCCTCTTCGTGAAAAGTCTCCATTGTTCTAACCCTGGTCTACGCACATTTTTTGCTTCAGAATATGTCCTCAAATATTTTTTCTATGTCAAGGTATTCTTATAATACACAACCGTGTTAGACAACCTTCAACGTAATACTTCAACCACCGAATTTTTTTCTATGATGGTCCCCAAAATGCGTAAAGGTGAAACGGACTAGTTACATTCCTTGATTCTGTTACCATAAAAAAAAAAAAAATTAGCTATCTTTTTTTTTTTTGCTTTAAGATGGCTTTAGTACGCACCAAAATTTACCGCTTAGGTTAGTGGCTCAGACGAGCACTTCCAGAGACACCAGCTCGTTTGCACCCCAACGTTTTGTTCGTTAACATTATTAATTTCAATGGCAGCCCTTTGATTCTATGAGAGAAACAGCAAAAACAAAAAAAATCGCTTGTTGGCGCTCACACTGTCGCGTTTTGTACAATAAGGGAGTCTTAGAAAAAGTACGCGAGCACTTTGGGTAAAATGAAAGTAGAGTATCCAAAGCGCTTGAGTACGTTATTCCAAAACTCCTGAATTGTAAACAAGATATTTTGGAGAGCGATAAATCAGAGAGGTTGAAATGTATGTAATGCAACTTAATATTTTTTTTCTACAATTTAAAACATTGAACCCTCGCTCATACGGGAACAAATTAGACCAGAAAATCCTTTGCCTTGTTGAGGAAGTTGTAAAGAAATATCGTGTCATCAGATAGTCAACACTCGAATTCTGATAGTTTTCGGCCCTTGCTGACGCAGTTGTGGCCCATGGCCCGCACGTCGCCACTATTTCCGAGCTGCTGCAAACATATCCTGGACAAGGCCTTGTACTCCCTATTGGAAAGACCAGTTTGAAAATCTAACTGGTCATACTGGTATTTAAACTGGTCAAACTGGTATTTGGACTGGTCAGACTGGTCTAACTGGAAATCAAACTGGTGGAACTGGTAGTCAGACTGGTCTAACTGGTAACCATATTGATCTAACTGGTCACCAGATTGCCTTCTAACTGGTCACCAGATTGACCTGACTGGTCACCAGACTGGCTGAACTGGTAACCAGATTGACCAAACTGGTCACCAGATTGGCCAAACTGGTCACCAGATTGGCCAAACTGGTCACCAGATTGGCCAAACTGGTCCCCAGACTGGCCGAACTGGTTCAACTGGTAACCAGATTGACCAAACTGGTCACCAGACTGGCCGAACTGGTAACCAGATTGACCAAACTGGTCACCAGATTGACCAAACTGGTCACCAGATTGGCCTAACTGGTTACCAGATTGACCCCTCCTTTTCACTTTATTTGTAGAGGTGTGCGAATTGGATAGCGCAGTCATTCGTAACCTTCACTGTGCAAAATAAAATTGCAACAAACGGTTCTGTTAACAGTGTTGAAGCTATTTATTTGTCATATATGTTCTACCATCTCACGATTGTCACAGGGAGACATGGTACTACAAACTACTAACTTATTTGCAACTGAATTCATGGCATATTAATGCCCACACGAAAGGTCAGCTTTATTTATTTAGCTAGAGAACGCTTCATCAATCCAAAAAAGTAAGAGCCAGCATTCTTATTCTTATGATTCTTTTAATATTTTCTTCCCAGAAATAGGTCAAACCAGTTTAAATTCTACAAACTTCAGATAAAAACGTCAATAACTGCAGCACGCTTTATGTGGGTCAAGGGACAAGTTCAGATGAATTAACAAAAAAGTCAGAAAAATTGCGCATCAGCTTACTACAACACCATGTCGCATACTGATTTCACATCCATAAGCATTTCACAGTTCCGCAAGAGTGTGATCTGCCAAAACAGTTTTTCATTTGAACACAATTAAACTTAGGTGATTATGAAAACACTGATGGAGAATTGGACTATGCATGGGCCTCTGCGGCGCATCCGAAATTGAAACATAAGGTCGGAAGTGCAGTCAAAGAACACACATCTGTCTAAGGACAAATCAAAGAAAGTCCTAAGTGGGGCGCACATACCATAAAAATTCAATTTATGTGAAATTGACAATCAACCACACCAAAGGACTTTGAAAGATCAAAATATACAGTATCAACCTGTCCTCATTGACACACAGCAAAACAAAACAAAACATATATCACGGGTACAAGGAC